GTTTTATACTAGAGGAAGGAATATTATAAAATCAGTCAGTCACGGTCTTAGCCGACTGATATTTTATGTCATACAGAAGTTGAATAGCACTCAATGCAAATGAAGTTTAAATTTTTATACAGAAATGTTTTCAGCGCCAAAACCACTCACAAGTCAGGCTGTCAATTATTTCTTGATTAATTGGGAATAATGTTTTGGTCATACAAGAACTACTTCTTCAGTGACTCAGAGGATAACCGTCTTGAAATCCGTCAGATACGATTGAATTTTCTTTCCTGGACATATTGACTCGACTTCCCTTTCGCGATTCCCGAGAATGTCATCAAGACAACGGCTGGAAGATGATAGACAACTGTTTAATCGTGTTCTCCAGTCCATTGAGGTGTCTTCTGTTCAACTTAGTTACCAGCATGTTGTAAGATCCGAAGGGGCAAAACGCGGTCAAAAGAGGACGGTTGGGACGTGTTGGACGGCTACTATGTTCTGTCCGAGTACGGCTGCGCGCAAATGAAACCGTTTTGAGTATAAAGGCGTCTTAAATACCTTACTGTGCGGGGAAGAAATTGAGTTGATAACCATGAAGAAATCTACAGAAGTTCTAAAGCGGGCGGTAATAAGCACCGCCAGACCGATAAAGTTCTTGTTTCAGTGATGACATCTTCTTTTTCGGAACTGTTTTATAGAATGCGTCTATTCGTTCCAATCAGAAATACAAAACAGCGTGAACTAGCCAAGTCCCAACTTATTACCAACTAGGGAAAATAAGGAACAGTTTATCATCGAACGGAGTCAAATCAGGACCCTCAAACTTCTTGCCGAGTATGCAGCATTTGGAGCATAGTTGGGTTATCCCTCAGCAATGCAAAGAATCATTATTCACTCATATTTAACTTTATATGAAAACCTTCTACCCACGTCATCGTACAATTTTTACGCTATCAGCCGAACAGTAGGCACGGGGGACAGTTGTGCTGACTACTCTAGCTTGCCTTAATATTGTCTGCAACAGAAATCACCCACCTCCTCGTCAAGAAGAATAAGCTGTCTACGTCAACCATAAAACCGAGGCAAAACAGGCCGGCCTTCTCCTGGAGTAGCAGTTTGTTCAAGCGACGACTGTAGAATCTGTAAAATGAGTGGATGGATCGCAAGGCAGAGGCACGCGAACCACTCTACCGCAACCACCAACCTCGTCACTGGCAATGAAGATCCGATCCCAGCCTGTCCTCACTGCTATTACATCTTTATATCGCGCATCGGACTGGTCGGTCACTTGCGAACCTATCGCGCTGAGGCCGGCGAACCCGGCCTGGTGCCTCGATTTGCATTCACCGCTTCCGCCGCGCTCGTCTCAATAACCCGCACTACCCACGCACATCCTGGGTCATGTGGAACTGTGTAATAAACCACCACAAACCAAACCCTGTCACCACACCTCCCCCCCTCCCCCCCACCAAAACATACAGCTTCCGACTTGTGTCTTGTCGCACATCGGCCTTTAGAGCTTCTGTGTTGCCATTCCTGGCGCGCTATCTTCCGTGTGAAGAGATAGAAATACAGAAGCTAAGACGTGAACTGTCCTCATAATAATCGTCCCTTTTGTGTTAAAATTTTTGACTCTGGAATGATCTATTAAATTATTTACTGGCCACAGAGGATAAAGCCAATTTTTTTCCTGAAAATTTTCAATTTATGATTTCAAAATAAAGCGATATTTCTTCTCTTTTAACTGCCATACAGGTTGTCGCATATGTATAGGGATATATTTATGCATGGACATGCATACATGCCCGACGTCAAGAATCATTCAAAAGAAACGAAGGCGGAATCAAGTTCAGTAGGTACTTGTTTCCTAGATCAGAATGTTCAGGGTTGAAAGAGGCTTGCGGGGTGTTGTTCAAAGGCAGTATCGACGGCTACCTTGTAAAGACTATCAGGATGGAGAGGGATGCGCTGGAGAAGGGTGGGTGAGGAGGAAGGCCCCATCCAGAGCAGTGTTCATCTAATCAGAAGTAACGCAAGTGCCCGGTGACAGCTTGTACGAACCCTTCGTTTCGGAGAGCTCGTTAGATCGAAAACGGCATTGCTGCACTCAGAGAGGAGCCAGCAGTGGAATTCGACTGGGCAAAGAAACCACTGTAACCGACATTTGGTGGTGGAAGGCGATACGAAGCGATAGAATTTCGATTATTATTACGGAAGACTGGCGTTTACTTCACACGCGAAAACTGCCCACTTCGAATACACTCGCCGGGATTGAGAAACGGACTGATTTCCGCTAAGGCGCCTCGTAATGTGTTCATCAGTCGAATTTTGTCATTCTGCTAACTGAGATCAGAGGGGGAAATCTGCAAAAAACTGACAATAAAATACTCCAGCGGACTGTCTCGCAGCCTCGAACTACGCTCCTGTGCACTAAGACGATCAAATGGTGGTACCCTCTCCTGAACCTCACCTAATAAACATTTGTCCAGAAGCTGCCAGTTCTCAGCATCGAGTAACAGCCTTACTGAACTGCTGGACTTTCCGCTGCAGTCGTCTGGGGAAGCATGAACTGCCCACGCATCTTGAACATGCGCGTACACCTAGGCACATTCCCCCTGTGAATGCGGCGACCGACTGCCAGCCGACGCCTGTACCATTGAACGCGCCTCATTAACCTTACCTGTCACCACACACCTCTTGAGGTCTCAACAGCCTGGAATTAGCCGCTGGCCAGTTGCACATCCTCTCCACGCATGTAGTACGGTAAATGCGAACGTATAGGCTTAGCAGTCTCTGCCAACCTTACAGTTCAGGAAGTATGAGCGCCGTGGCAGACCCAATTGAGGGCATTCTGTAATACTGAGGTTTATTAATTTTAAAATTATTTGAGCAAGGATTAAGCATATGCGCGGGGTAAGCATGTGCTGACTGCTGTCTAACAGGCTCACTAGCTTGCCTTGTTTACTTTCCTAGGAAATGAATGCGCGAACTTGGAGTAAATCTTTTAGAACAGACCTTTTCAGGCACGGTCCGAAATGTCCTATGAATATTTGACCTGAAATACCTCAACTACTGCGGAATAACCGCGTAATATTTACAAACCTACAACAGGCAGCCTGTAATATATAATTGTGCAATCATTTTGCCGTACTAACAACAGGTATTAGCTAAAATCTCAGACAAGCGTGCATCGTCGATCTCGTGCCGTTGCCTGACGCCAGTGCCTAAAAATGTCTGTTCTGAGAGATTTACTCCAAGATCGAACATTAATTTCTCGGAAATTTAACAAGGCAAGTTGAGACTGGAGTATGTGTACCATTTGGTGGTGGAAGGCGAGATGTCCCCGACAGATTCAACTTTGGAACAATGGGAGTGGATTCCGATCGGCCAATCTGGCTGTCAAAAACTCGCTGAACAGAGCATTAATGGTGCATACTACCGCTGTATACCAGCTCACGTACAACTCGCCATCCCTGCATCCACCGCGCTGTGGAAGAAAATCGTCGGACGTCGCCGTCAATACTGCTTTTCAATAACACCTCGCAAGCCTATCCCGCAGAGCCAACCGCTCATCTACGCATGCCACACACCTGATCGGTGTACAAATTATCAGGCACGCCTTCGCTCCGGACAAAACTCTTGCTGTCAGCGTTCGACCCTCAAAAGAGACCAAGAGTTCCCCAAAGCCTAGAGTTCAGATGAGTCACACGATGGACGTCGCCGAACTTGGTGGTCGAACTTTAATGTACTTGTTGACAAGAAAATATAATTGAATGTCATTCTTGCATGGTTCTTCTCTTTTTTGTCTGCAATGCGTTTTGCGTGCGGGTCACGAGTTTGACTTCGCAGCCACCAAAATCGTCGCCCACGCCGGAAACAAAACAGGCCGAGAATTGAATGAAGCCTGGGCCTCGGATGAGAACTCGGTCAATCGATTTATCGATCTGGCGCCGGCGTACAGAGCCCTTCGTAGTCACCTCCAGTCGTGCGACGTCGGTCGATGATTGGGTCTACGTGCCTTATAACTGCCGCTTGTCCTGTTTCTGCCACTACCTCTGACGATGGACTCCTGTACGAGTCTGAAAGCTCAGGATAATAAACGAATTGTTCCGGTGCTCGACTCTTCTTCTTCAAATATGACTACACCTGGAACTCGAAATCTTGCCTTCATTCGCATAGGGACACATCTGTTCCTGCGCAGATTTGTATACAAGAGTTTTGCCCCTGAAATGGACCGTGCGGTAGATGCGCTGGACCACTACGAGGGATAGAGGGGAGCCTGGCAAGCGTTTTCAGGAATGCGCATCAGGAATGCCAAAATTCGGGTTGCGGTGGCAGGTCACGTTGCGGGTTCACGCAGCGCCAATTGAGACCCCTGTTCTCCCCTGTCCACACCACCGGGAGGGGGAGTGTGGTGGTACGCGTAGGTGCGGTTTACGCCGTGCCAGCCACCTGTGGCCTTCCCCACCTCAGGTATTTTTGACCTAGTTATGACACTGGGTCCATATAGGCGGAAAAGAGGGTGCGGTAGATGCTGCACAAGTCTACCATCGTTAAAAAATAGTTCACGCACAACCCCCCGTCCCTGTGTCCACCACGCTATGAGGCAGACGGTGAACATCGTCGTTCACGACGCTCGAACAGCTCTTTTATCTTCAGCTAAACCTTTTCAATCACGTTTCGTCTCTTCAGTCCGTTCTCAGTCGGGAACCATGCCAAATGCACCCTGTTTATGTCGTCCTCAACATTTTTGGCAGCTAAATACGCCCACTGGCCTAATACCAGCTGACCAATCAGAATTTGTGAAAATCTGATCGTGTCATTCGTTCGTCGTCATTATGCACGTTCTCTCTTAGCATGAAGAACCGTTAGGATCTTTACATAACTTACGGTGCGGGGGGAGGAAGTTAAATCAAACCCAGTCGACGTAAGGAAATGGGAGTTTTTCACACATGCATAGGACGTCATAGAGAACACAGAGTGGGGTTGGAAACACTCCGCAATCGCATACTTAACTACTTGTAGATGAGCGGGGGCAGTCGACCTGGCAGAGGATCCGTGTAGACGGCGTGTGTGAGCGACACCTGGTGGATCTCTGTGGGCGAGGTAGGCAGTGCGTAGGCGCTCCATTTGATGCGGGCCCAGGAGTCAAAGGGGTAGATACGGGGGTGATTACGTTCCAGCAGGCGTTTCTCCGTATCCGACTGGGTGCACAGGTGTGGTGTCAACTGATGCTTATCCTTCAGCTTCAGCTTCGACTGGGGTTTCTCTTTCAGGGGAATTATGTTATTTTTTTGACCTCCCTTATTTTCGTAAGGCTGGATTTCCATGTTGGTGAAGCGCAAGCTGGGTGCATTTTTGTGATCGAAGGGCATCTTTCTTTCGCGTACTCTTCAGTACGACACTATGCCGGATGCTGTGTCAATGTGTCCTGCCGATCGATTATCACGTGGGTTTGAATAATTGTCGGTTTTGTGGACTTGGAGTGCTACGCACAGTGCGTCAAACCTCACTAGTTCAATTTCCTCCAACGTGCACCATGGAAATAATAGGCATGTACAGTGAGTGACCGATCTCATGAAATGTTGGCCGAAATTCTGAAATGCGTTTTCGATTTGGAAGAATTACTAAGTTGGGGTTGTAATATTGGTTATCATGCGGTATAATCCACTAATATTTTGGACTCGCCAGGATGCCGGCCTTTGAATGCACTTCTTTTTGATCTCCTGCAAAAACTATGCTCGGTAAAAAGGTGACTACTTTAGTAGCACACATTTTTCGCATTTATTTTCGATGGTCACGTAAATTCAAGCATATTTTAGAGAAAAAATGCGCAAGTATATGCCTTCTTCTACTAATTTTGTGGCTTGAAGACAGGGTATCTTTAAATTCTAAAGGGTTTTTAATTATACGATTTTTAAGGTCGTGCAAGGTAAATTCATGCAGCATCATGCCTGTCTGTTTACAAATGCTCCTCCTGAAATGTATAACAGTACGCAATCATTACAACAGTCCATGAACTCTAAATCGTATCTTCTTCAAGGCATAGAGGAATAAATGATTCTTCTTACGCGGAAAGCATACGTCTTGTAGACTGAAATCGCTAAGCGCTAATACAGCGTCTGATCTGGCTTAAAATTATTCGGGAATTGGAAGACTTTTTTAAAGCCTTAATATAGCCTGTCTTCAAGCATAAAATGTAAATTCGACGTGATTTGCCACAAAATGAGTAGAAGAAAGCATATTTTGTGCATGTTTTCTATAAAATATGTTTGAATTTACGTAAGTATCGAAAATAAATGCAAAAATGCATGCTACGTAACTAGTCAACCTTCTACCGAGTATGGTTTCTGCAGGAGATCAAAAGGACGTGCATTCAAAAGCCGACATGCTGGCGAGTCCGAAATATGAATGGATTACACCGCATATTAATCAATATTACAACCCCACCTAAGTAATCCTTCCGAATCGAAAACGCATTTCAGAATTTCGGCCAACATTTCATGAGATCGGTCAATCACCGTATACTCTGCTTCGATTCAAGGTGCTTAAATGAACAAGTAATACTACTGCAAAGAAGATGAACGTGCGGCCACGTGTATTAGTCTGAGCTTTCTGTCTTGTACGGGGAGCCATCATCAGAGACTGTGAGAGCGAGGCGTCAAATGATCAGTTTTGTAGTTAAAAAAAAAGAAGGGAAATATGAGTGTAGGGGGTGGTCTTCGCGATACGGCTGAATCTACGCCGTCTTACGGCGGCGTGACTGCGTGCACCCTTGGCTGAGAAGGGAGCCTCGCCTCTCGGCCGCGAGAACGGAGCGCGCTCAGACTAATACTCGTGCTATCTCAGTGATCACGAGTTTATCTTTCTTGCAACAATAGCCTGGGACTCGCATATTCGCTTCCCTTCAAGCATGCTAGTATTGACCAGTCGTCAACTCAATTCGCTCCCCTTGTGAAAGTCAAGTCTTTATAATATGTGCCAAACTCATTGGCAATTCAGAGATAAACCTTTCCAAGCTTTTGTCTGGACGGTTTTTCATCGATAACTGTTGCAACTGGCAAAATGCCCAATGGCGGAGAATTTCAAATATTTGTAATTTATCCCACCTTATGGGCTTCGGAGGGAGTGATACCACTATCGACTTGTTCATAAGGAAATGATTTCCTTACGAGCTTAGGTGTCCCCCAGAAAACACTATAAACTCGGAATTATTTTGTCCGTGATATAGATTTTGGACAGTCATAAATGACAGGTTTGCCGGTAGACGCGGAGAGGCAATTTATAGAACGTAGTCGTGGAGAAGAAGACGCGATCGCTGGAACAAGAGTTTTGTTAGTTTGACGTTTCGGATTCTCACTCGAATTGACCGCCACAGACAGAGTCGGATAAGGGCGGCAAGTTACCCAGATGTTGCAGCATTTGTAGGACGTAGTTGCTAGGCTGCTACATGCCTATCACAGTTGGCAGCTCCCGAGTGCATCACAGCTCGACTGGCCAGGTGTTGAGGGATGCAGTCGCCGTGCAGTTGCTATGCCCCTGCGTGGCGGTCAAAATTATCGATCCTCACGCTCGTCGCAAGCAGGCGAGTTGTTGACTGCCGAATTTCGTCATCTGTGTAGACGTTTGGGCAATTTGACTCGCCTGCATCCTATAAATACTGAAACACCTGGGCAATCCACTTCCCTTATCTGTCTCTGATGGTGGATTCCAGTGGGAATTAGAAACATCAGGCTACTAAGGCTCTTGCTCTAATAAACGACGGGATTTGCTGGTGCTGAAACAGCTTGAGAGAGCTCATCAATTGCAAACCACTATGACAGAGATGATCACGGTGCATGGTCTAAAAAGCCCAAAAGACATCCAGACTGATTCAGCGGTCCAGCGAACACTATTCCAGCTCGAAAGACGAAGAATGCCATGCCTCGAATTGCGTGTATGAATTCACACGCACTTGCGAATGCGGGCGTAGTGAACGAACGCAAAGGCAACTGGCAGCCAGGTCACTTGAAGACCTGTCCTAACGGCTTTTTAAGCGAAAAATAAGATTCCTCGTTCTTCTCTTTCAAGACGTCGTTGATAGCGGTCCCTCAGCTGATTCCAAAACGGCATCCGAATACTTGTCCGAGAGCGAAAAACTCGAATATTGCGCTACTTGGAAGCAGCCTACATACAAAGGGAGAAAGCCTACCTATGCGGACATTTAGACCACATGATCGACTTAACTTGCCTTGACAATCCCCAACACTTCGACTTACACACCCCTTTTGCGCATTAGCTTTCCATTTTTCCTTACTGCATGACGCCTTGAGTTTATATTTTCATCGATTAGACTACCTGCCGTCGCCGTTTTTGCACGGATTTTCTGTGCAAATTCAACTAGGTATGAAGACAAAATTTCGATTTCCAGGTGTATGCATAAGTAAAGAAGAGTCGAGCACCGGAACACTTTGTTTATTGTCCTAAGCTTTCAAACTCGTACAGGAGTCCATCGTCAAAGGTGGTAGTAGCAATAGAACAAGTCACAGTTATAGGAAATGTAGACGAATCATCGACCGACGGCGCAGGGCTGGAGGTGACCACGCAGGGCTCTGTACGCCGGCGCCAGATCGATAAATCGATTGAATGACTTCTCATCCGAGGCCCAGGCTTCAATCAATTCTCGGACTGTCTTGTTTCCGGTTTGGGTGACTATTTTGGTGGCTACGATGTTAAACTCGTGACCCATTTCGTAGGCGTGGGTGGCCACTTGTGATAATGCGTCGCCTCGTCGAACAGCCAGCTTCTGTTCGTGTATGCGCGATCCGAGCATGCGCCCAGTCTACCCTGTGTAGTAGCAAGGACAATTTTGACACGGAATGCGATACACTTCTCCAGATAGCTCTTCAGGCTTTAGCCTGTCTTTGATCATCATAACGCTATTGCGCATGTGTGGCTTTGGGGCGGTGTGCAATTCCAACACCTAGCTCCGCAGCCATGCGTTCAGTCGCTTCTGAAAGGCCCTTGATGTATGGCAGAGAATGCCATATGGTTGGCGGTGTTGATGTTCGAGTCCTCTGGTGGCGACCGCGTAGGCAGCGACTTATGAATGCCCTCGGATAGCCATTTTGCACAAACTGGTCGCGGAGATAGCGGGCCTCACGTGCTCTGTCCTCTGGTTTACTGCAGTGAGTTTGGATCCGTTGGTATTTGCTCCCTATTTGCTATTAACGTTATGCAGCGACGGGTTGCAACTGAGAAGCAGTCGCGAAATTTATTGAAACCAGTAAATTCTGTTGTTTATTCCCGTTTTCAACTATAAAAATTGATAATAGCAAATCGTCAGTATGTTTTGCCATGAAGCGTAAATGCTTGGAGTAAAGTGCACATATCCGGATGACAGTACTGCCGCAGAGGACGGACTTGGACCGCAGTTAAACAATGCGGAGATCTCCACCCAGATCGGGGTAAACGCGATCCATGATGGATTGCTTGAACTTTTGACCGGCAGCTGTTACCGAGAACGGAGATGGTTTAAAGCCACGACCTATGGCGAAACGACAACGCAATCACGTCCCCAGCAGCAGGTCAAGCCGGCGGTGGCGAGTTAACAGGGTCAGAATAACATTACCGACAAAGAGAAGGGAGTTTGGAATGGCCATGTCTGACTTATTAGCCATCGTCGGCCAGTTATACCCAACCCCGAAATTTGAAACACCTGTGCGTCCCTTTACCATTGTCTATTCGCGATCGCATCCGACAGGACAACCAACCTGTGGCTCAGTGGTTAGAGGCGTTGGACTTCTAACCAAGAGGTCGCGCGACCGAGCCCCAGGTAATCCACGCTTCGGGATTGGATATGACTGGCTGACGACAGCTACTAAGCCGGAAATTTCCATTCCAGACGGTAATGCTATTCTGCCTATATCCTGTGCCGCTGTGCGGCTGTCGGTTGGGGTCGAGAGAGAGAGCCCTAAGGGACAACGGGACGGGTGGGTTCCGAAAAACGATCGGTAAGCGCCCCTCTACCATTAACCTGGGACAGTCAATTAACGTGCGATGCGCTATCGAGCACGCGTGATGGTTTTGCTCACGCGTGCGATCCAATCAATGCCAGATCGAACGTTCAAGACTTTTCTCCGGCAGATTCACGCGTACGCAATGGTCATCCGGCGACCGGCACGCCATAGGCAGGAATGTTCTAGAACGTCCTTAACAGCTGGCACACCATTGGCCCGGATGTTCCAGAACGCACATGGATCAACATAAATAAGGCGTCTCTCCGACGAGTCTGTCATTAAGGGCCTTGCTTTCCGAACCTTCCGAACTCTAACCCCAATCCCTTACCCTTAACCCCTCACCCTGGCCCTAACCCTTACAAGTACAGCTACGAAATAAAATCTTGCCGGCTTATTTCTTGAGCTCAGCCAGTTCCGAAACGTTTTTCCATTACTGAGGTTTAGCATAGATATCTATTACATAGATATCTATTACAAGCCCAGGGAAGAGGTGTTCTGTTGAAATAAGCTATAACCAATATTCAGATAAGCGGCTAATTTCTAAGGAAATTAAGAAGTTGCAACTTAAAACCTGGAGTATCTACTAGAAAAGCACGCGGGTAGCGCTGGGGCACCCACTGATGAACCGAACTCCCCGCAGCTGTTTCACACAGCGGCAGAATTTCGGCGAAACACGAAACCGCTTCATGCTATGCTGCTACTCCAATCTTAGTCTATTTGTATTTGAGATCGGACGAAAAGCGGGGTTAAAGTTACGTTCCTGGCGTTGTAATCAGCAAACAGCAAGTGATCCCAATTGCACTCGTAAAAGCATATTCGAGCATTCGGATCAAATCCCTGGCTCCAACAAATATCGGTTTGGTTAATGTGTATCGTCATATTCGACTGATAGTGTGCATATTTAGATCCCACTGTCTTTGTAGCTTTTCTTCAGTTAAACTTCCAAGGCGTCCACCTTTGTGTAAACTCTTTCGAATTTTTCGTTTGGTTTCCCAAACCATCCCCGTTCCTCAGTGGAAGATGTGGTCCGTTAAGGACACATATAAAAATTACCCCTTTGTCAGAAGGAGGGGTTACAGTAGGTGGAACTGTCTGAAAGCTTGAGGTTCTTTCGAAAGGGAGCTGTGGGAGAGAGGGTTGGATTGATACAGATTGTCAGCTTTACCCAAAATCTGTTGCACCCAAAACTTGTAAACAAGTAAGTATGGTAGGGGGCGCTCGGCGATCGTTCTTACGGAAATCACCCGGTCCGCTGTGGCTTACGGGCTCTCTCTCCAGCCCAACCAGCAGCCGCACAGCGGCGCATGATATGGGCAGAATGGTATTACCGACAAAGACAAGGGAGAAGGAGAGCCCGTAAGGCATAACGGAACGAGGGAGTTCCATGAGAACGATCGGTGAGCGCTCCCTACCATTGTATATTCCCGATCGAAACCGACAGGGCAACGGGCTCGTGGCCCAGTGGTTAGAGGCGTGGACTTCTAACTAACAGGTCGCGAGTTCGAGCCTCGGGTGTGGCACACTTCGGGGTTGGGTATGACTGGCTGACGACGGCTGATAAGCCAGAAATGGCCATTCCAGCCTCCCTTGTCTTTGCCGAAAATAACATACAAGCAAATACTTTACTTCCGTGTCCATAGCTCGTTTCACACAGAATGGCGTTCCTCCACCTCCGAAGGTGGTCCGTCTACTTGCTTTGCGCCATGTAGGGCAGTGAATGAATGCAATAAATAAGATCCAGACAGTTCATAGAATTATGGTAAATGGACACTCGCCGATCAGGTTACGGAACATGCTTGTTCAGTTGTGCCTTGGGCTCATGCTAGAACCCTCGCAGGCAGTCGCATAGCAACTACTGATATATGTAGATTAGGTGATCCCAACCAAGACAAGAGAAACCGCAATGGCTATTTCTGGCTTACTAGACGTCATCAGCCAATCCAAAGTGTGGACCACCTGGGATTCGAACCAGGGGTCTTAGGCCATTGAGTCAAACGCTCGACCAATGAGCCGCGGGCTTGTTGTCCTGTCAGTTATGATGAGGAATATTAATTATGATGAAGTAACGCTCACTGATCAAGTTACGGGACATGCTCGTCCCGTCGTACCTTGGGGCTCAATCTCGAACTCTCGCAGGCAGTCCGACAGCGACCGGCTGTTCTAGAAAGCCATAAAGCTTCCTTGTGGACTTTAAAAGTGGAATAGTTCTCGCATATTATCATTATCTGTTGCTCTTATAGTTTTCAGTGTAAAACACGATGATTCAGCCGAGCCTTTGCGGTCAACACCTCAACAGCCAGAATTCTTAGGGTGACTAGTTCATTGCATACAATATCCTATGAACTATGCACGGTGAGTGACCGATCTCATGAAATGTTTGCTGAAATTCTGAAATACGCTTTCGACTAGGAAGGATTGTTTAGGCGCGGTTTTAATACTGATTATCTTCTGTCATAATCCTATAATATTTCGGATTCAACAGGATGTCTGCTTTTGAAAGCACTGCTTTTCAATCTCCTGTAGAAACCGTACTCAGTACAAATGACTACTTATTTAGCATACACTTTTCACATTGTATTTTGATGATCTTACAAATTCCAATATATTTTATAGAAACCACGAGCAGAAATATGTTTTCTTCCAGTCGTCTGATAGTACATCATGTCATTTTTGTATTTTATACTCAAAGAAGGAGTATAACTGGATTTTAAAAAGGTTTTCTAATTCCCGAATAATTTGAAACCTGATCAGCCGTTGCAATTGCGCTTGGTGATTTCATTCTACAAGTTGCATGCGTACCGCGTAAAAAAATCACATATTCTTCCATGCCTTTAAAACGATACCATATGGATTCTGCAAAATTTTGCAATGGATGCGGACTATGCTGTACATTTCATGAAGGGTAATGGAAAACGGACAAGTGTGATGCTGTATGAATGGACAGCACGGTCGCAAAAAATCTCATGGTTGGAAAATTTTTTAAAACCTTATTAAACTCGTTTTTGAACATAAAATTTAAGATGACATGTTTTTCTATCAAACGACTGGAAGGGAGCATACATGCATGTGCATGGTTCATAGGATATTGTATGCAATGAACTAGCCACCCTTAGAATTCTCGCTGTTGAGGTGTTGACCGCAAAGGCTCGGCTGAATCATCGTGTTTTCCACTGAATCCTATAAGAGCAACAGTTGATAATATGCGAGAACTATTTCACTTTTACAGTCCATAAGGAAGCTTTATGGCTTTCTAGAATAGCCAGTGAACAATTTCGTGAAATGTTTACCGAAAACATAAAATGGGTTTTTTCATGTAAAAAGTTACTTAAGTGGGGTGTAATATTGGTTGTCCTGCCATGATAGTGGTTTTTTAAAAGCACTTCCTTCTGGCCCTATGCGAAATCCACACTGGATAAAAAAACCCACTTATACAGTATGCATTTTTTCATTTGTTGTCGACATCCTCTTAAAATTAGTAGAAAACATGGTCAAAACGTCCTTTCTTATATTCTTTTGACAGAAAATCACGTCGTCTTCAAAACACATGTATTTGAAACGAGGATATTTTGTTTTTAAACAAAAGTTGTTGCAGTGAGATTTTTAAGACAGGGAAATGTACATTCGAATAACATCGTATCGTGACAGAACTGGTCCAGCAGGAGCTTAGAAAGATTGCCTTCATCCAACATGAGGCGGCACTTTGGCATCGTTAAGTAGACACGTCTGTCATCGTAAAGAGGAACATGCTGCAAATATTTCCACAATCCGCTCAACGCAGTCATCCCTGACAAAAAAAATCGCGAAGGATGAAGAA